AGCAGCAACTGCAATGCGGCCAGCGTATGGCTTGAGCTCATTGGTAACTTCAGATTCAGTGAGACCAACGGCCATCATAGCACCAGGGACGCTATCAGAGCTGGCAGCTGCGTTGCCCATGTAGAGACCACGGTAGTAAGCGGCAACCATGGCATTAGAAAAGGACAAAATGCCAGCAGCATAAGTAGCAGCCAGTTCACCACTGGAATGTCCAACAACAGCGGTTGGGCGTATTCCCCAGGAAGCAAGGAGGTTAATCAAAGCAAGCTGAAGAGCAGTGCAAATTGGCTGAGAGAATTGAGTCTCACCCAAGCGAGAATCTTCTTGAGATCGAAGAAGCTCGCCGACAACGGTCCAATCGGGCTTATCAGGAAGAGCTTGGAGAACTTCGTCACACTTCTCTAAGGATTGGCGGAAGAGTGGGCTCATTTCAATAAGCTGACGGCCCATTCCCCACCACTGGGCACCTTGTCCGGTGAAGACAAAGCCAAGTCGGGGAGCAGAAGTCATCTTGCTGACCCAAGCAGCGACTGGTAGGGGCTCCTTGAGGCTGCTGACGACAGCTTCATTGGTAGCTCCATAAGCAAAAGAACGGAAATCATGCATGCTTCGCTCTGTGCTAAGGGTAGTGGCAAAGTCTGCAATGCTGATATCAGGGTTTGCCTCCAAGTAAGCCGCAAGTTTATCAGCCATCAGCTTTCCAGCTTTGTCGGAGTGGGAAGTAATCGGTGCAAGATAAGGGCGACCCTTGGTCATCTCAGCGTAAGGCTCTGGGAGAGCAAGCTTAGTGGATGATGGGCGGCTGTATTCCTCTAGGATAATATGGGCGTTGGTGCCTCCATATCCGAAGCTGTTAATGGAGACACGTCTAGCGACACCTTCGCGGACCGTCCACTCAACAGGTTCGGTAGGGATGCGCAGCTTCCATCCCTTGAAATCAACCTCAGGGTTGGGGGTGTTGAAGTGCATGTTTGGAGGGATTTGATGTTTTTCCAAAGCCATTGTTGCCTTCATGATACCCGCCAATCCAGAGGCACCCTCAAGATGACCGATATTTGTCTTGACAGAACCAATCCAGAGGGGCTGGTCACGGGTAGAAGCGAAAACAGAGCTGAGAGCACGGAGTTCTCGGGGGTCTCCAGCTGCGGTACCAGTACCGTGGCATTCGACATACTGAGTATCAGCAGGGCTGAGGCCAGCCTCTTTGTAGGTTCTTTCAATCAAGGCCGCCTGGGCCTGAGCAGATGGGAGAGTGATTCCCTGCTTCTTTCCGTCATGGTTTGCACCAGATGCCCTGATGATAGAGCGGATTCGATTTCCTTCGACCTCAGCACGAGATTGCCGCTTCAAAACAACCGCAGTGATACCCTCACCACGAACGTAACCGCTACCAGCCTTGTCGCCGTGACGGCAGCGGCCGTCAACGGAAAGCATACCAAGATCAGTCATGGTCACGAAGATATTTGAGTCAAAATGAAGAGCAGACCCGACAATAATGGACAAATCGGATTCACCACTGCGAAGAGATTGGTTTCCAAGGTGCAGAGCAACAAGAGAAGAGGAGCAAGCGGTGTCAATAGTAACGCTAGAGGGAATTTGTCAGTTAACAGGAGCAGATGTAGGCATTTGCTTCAATAGAACTTTACCTAGGACCGTGCAAATCATAAAAGTAGGAGATACGGTTAGAAAGAATTGCATCACCAGTTCCGGTCACGGTGTACTTGGGATAGTACTCCAAATCCTTGGTGATCATAGAGTTGTAGTCGTTGGTGAAACAACCACAATAAACAGAAGTTTGGGTGCCCCGGATTTCGTCAAGAGTAATTCCGGCTATTAGTAATTAGTTAGGATATTCAGAAAAAGCAGGATATAAACCTTACCATTTTCCAATGCTTCGTAGACAACCTCAAGCAAGAGGCGCTGCTGAGGGTCCATGGCCTCAGCTTCCTTGCCAGAGATGTGGAAGAAGCCAGCATCAAAAAGACCAAGGTCCTGGTCAAGGAAGTAACCATATTTGGCATTGGTCTACAATAAAGTTAGAATCAAACCGTAGTGTGTCTGTGATAAGAGGCGGAAAATCAACATACGGTTCCCTTGTTGGTTCCATCAGGGTGGTAGTAAGCGTCGACATTGAAGCGGTCAGAAGGCATCTTCTTCTGAACATCGCGCTGGGTCATGATGTTCTCCCAGAGTTTGGAAGGAGAAGAAGCACCTGGAACACGGCAGGCCATGCCGATCACAGCGCTGAAATCATCGCGAGGAGTTGGCGCAGTAGTAGCGCTTGAAACGGTCTCGTTGTCAGAGACGTAAGGGGTGTTAACACCTGAAGTACTAGTCATGGTGTCCATTGCTGCGTAGTTCGTTTGGAAGTTAGTATCAAGAAGAGGAGCAAGGACTTAACCTGAAGTTGTGAATATGTCCAGATGCTTTTCAGAATTGGAATCCAAGACAGAGGACAGTCGGATGGTGCGTATTAGTTACTAAGTATGTATTTTGAATATACAATATCCAGATAATCGATGTCGAACCGCTGGATGGTTGGTAGAGCACTGAGTCGAAGAAAAAAAAAAGTCTATAAGGAATCCCCAATTTGTATATTGAGGTATCGAAGTGAAAGAGGTGGTCCCAGAAGCAGAGAGCTTGGTGGGAGTAAGTAGATGCAAGTAAGGATCAAGAAGAACACAGAGAGAGAACCAAATCAGCCCGGCAATGATTTAATTCTGGAAAGAAATTTTGAAGCTATCTCGGGGTCAGAAAGGGTATTTGACTTGTTCTCGATATCTTAGCCATCTCAGCCATCTTGAAATCTGACTAAGGCTTGCATGGTAGGAACAGTCGAAGTCGCCGTGCAGAAAAGGATAACGGGCAATTTCCAGATCCCTATGCAGGCTGCCTATTGGCTAGACGAGCTATGTGCTGAAAGAAGGTAAAGCGAGTCTTCGAGACCAAAGCTTCTTTCTGTCGGCCAGCTCGGGGAGCGTGGCCGTCAAGATACCAGGGCTGATGTATCTAGCCCCCTTGAAGGTTCGCATTTGGAAAGATTGATTGCCATTAGTTCAAGAGAAGAGAGCCCCATAGAAAAGGGACCCGAAGCTAAGCTGACATTCTTTTCCTCCATGCAGGGAGAAGTTAATATGCATCAAGCCCTAGTCTCGCGTGGCTTATCCCCTGCAAGAGGATGCGGGACTCCATATCATGGTATGGAAGGCCCGCTGCGCTGGCACATGGCATAAAGGCTGAAACCGCTTAACGCGAGGCTGGAGGAACAACGCATCCTTGGTGGTAAATCCTCCGCGTGGGCTCGGGGGCGAATACCGAGTTCTGCCCCATTTTGTACTGCTACTACAGCCCAGGGCAGCTAAATGTGGACTCTGCGCAAAGTAGACCCTTGTAAGTGCTTAGTGTAGATGCGTAGATTTGATGAGATAACTAGTCCACGATTCATTCACCAAGGCACAGGTGGACCTTTCGAGATCGGCCGAATGGCAGCAGAGAGAATGCAGGGGCCCCGATGCCTGTTGATACATTTATGGGCCCATTATTCTGGGCTGACTGGCAGCTTGATGCATGGACACGAGAACAGAGACCGCGATGCAAAAGGCTGAGGATGAAGAGATGAGGTTGGTTGACGTCGAGGTTTGGAAGTTGAAGTTGATGTTTAGGTCAGTCATGCTGACTAATCACTTATGAGACATCGAGGCTGAAACTTCAACTTCCAACGTCGACTTTGATATCAACAAACAACAAGCAAAAAAGAAGGAAATAAGAAAACTGCTACTCCATAATAACAAGCTATTTTCAGCGCTGGCATACTTTACGTTTCCTTCTGCTTGCCTACCTGCCGCTCTTCCCATGTGGCAACCGCCTCGGCGCATGCTGAAGGCTCGACATGGGATTGCTTACTGCTAAAAGTCTAGACGGCCTCTCGTATCGCTTTAACTACCTCCGGAATCTTATGGGGTCGTGGCAGCCAGATCTCCGCAGAATGAAGGCGAGGAGACTGGAGACATCTCTCCATTGCTCTACCTCAGCATGAGTTGCATAGGCTAACACTGGATTCCCTCCTATATGACTCTTCAGGCATGACAAGCGATGCTAGCTCCTTGCAGTCAGCTAGTTAGTTGAGCTTCATATTAACTAGCCCATCGTCAATGTGTCTATCGAATCACCAGCAACATTATCGAAGATGCCCTCCCCTCGATATCAGGCATCTCAACTAAGAGTCTAGCACATACGAACACAGGAAGTGGAAAACAGAGCTTCCCGTCCGCTCAGCTGTACTTAAGCCACTTGCCGGTCGGTTAGTAGTTGGGTGGGTGACCACCAGCGAATCCCGACTTTCGTATGTCTAATTTCTTTTTTTTATTATTCTTGCTTTTTCGCCATCCTCAATTCTTACCGTATATTTTAGTCGTTATTGTTGTTGGCGAGCAAAGTATTCAATATGCAGCCCATAAGTTATGAATGTGTTTCTCCCGGAAACGCTGTGTGTCGATATTTCCACCCATACTCTGAAGTTACGCCTGTAACTGCTCAAGACGAGAGCTAGCTTTGCATAAAAGACTTGTTATTTCTCTTTTCCTCGAATAATTTGCATGCCAGTCCAGGATACACGAAACAAGGCTACTAATAATGATCCGTTACGCGTCGGGTGCTCGATACGTCCACCCATTCCTCTGTACCAGGAGGAAAGCAACCGGACTCTTCCATGGGTGACTTTCAGCGGCTGGTTTTCCGCCACTTTTCTCCTCACGGAGCTTTTTATTAAACCCGCTACCCCCGTTGATATGGCATCGTGAACTTATATAGACGACCTCTGCTCTATCCTACGCGTGCTGTCGTTGTCTACCCTGTCTGGAATCCGGTTAATTCCTACGGGCTTTTTCTGTTTATCTCATCTCGCCATTGCGTGATATCTTCTTTTCAGTACCTCTATCGGGTGCTAGATACCCGTTTGCTCATACATTAGTAATCCTACATTTGCAGTCTCACCCGTCACCATGTTCGTTGACTACATCCGGACGGCCTTGACACAGCCAATCAACATAATACCAACTATCATCATTCTCTTTATTGTCTTCAAAATCCGAGCATGGTCCAAGGATGATGGCATCCCGTCCGTTAAATCAAATATTCCAATTGTCGGAAACCTCCTCGATTATGCTAAGGATATGGAAAAATATGTCCGTGAGTCCGGCAAGAAATACGGACAGGTCTTTCAAATTAACCTCCTCCTTACGAACACAATCTGGCTTAACGGCCCTGCTTTGAATAAGGAATACCTCTTTGCCCGCGAGGTAGGTAGTCTATGTACCTTCTGGTAAACAATCTCGTCTAACTATTCATCAGGATGTTTGGTCATTCGGTGACGGCATGGGAGTGTTCCTGAACAAAGTCGTTGTCCCAAACTTCTTCGACCAGCTTCGTGTTCTTGTTGGATCACTTAGCAGAGGAATTTCCAACAACGCAGCTATCTCACATTATACAAATCTAGCTGGCATTGAAACCGAGAAGGCAATTGCCGACTGGGCTGACCGCAAGGAGCCCCTGAACCTTTTCAAGGACACTTCTTACATTGTACACAAAATTATTGTCCAGTGCATGATGGGTCCAGACTTCTACGATGCTGCTGATGAACTTTTTGACCTTCTTCACGTCATGGAAGCGAATCTTGGTAGCATCTGGAACTTCATTCTCCCTGAGTGGCTACCTCATCCAGCCGCTAAAAAGCTCTGGGCTGCCCGTGACCGTACTAAGGAGATATTCAATGTCCGTCTTGCTGCCCGTGAAAAGGAGCCGGAGAAATGGAAGAAAGAACTGGACTACATTTCATACACCCTCCGTGATCCTGTCACTGCTCATCTAAAGGACAAATACAGTGCCCTTCACACAGTTCTCATGTTTGCTGCCCACACAAGTACTGTTGCCGGCGTTGCCTGGACTATCATTGAGGTGAGGCTCCCCATGTTCTTCCAGTGTCCTTAAATCGCTAACCAAGCTTAGCTTCTCAAAAACCCTCAATACCTCGAGCGTCTTCGCAAAGAACTAGCTGCCAACCCGAACCCCGAGGAATCCGAGTTCCTCAGTGCCCTAATGAAAGAAACTGTCCGCCATTACGTGGCTTTCAACGATCTCCGCTTCACCCGCCAACCCAAGACTCTTACTAACGCGGATTCTAAGAAGCCCATTACTATCCCCGCTGGTACCATGGTATCTATCTCACCTTACATCACCCACCATGACCCAAGCATCTGGGAAAATCCCAACGAATATCTTCCTGAGCGTTGGATCGATGAGCCAAACCTCCAGAAAAAGATGAATGAAGGCAATAACATCCGCTATTTACCATTTGGTGCCGGAAGTCATCGTTGTCCTGGAGAGAAGATGGCACTAATGATGATGAGGACTATTGTTGCCAAAATTGTTATGACCTGTGATATGGATTGGCCCGCTGGCGAGGCTAACCAAAATACCACCGACTTGGACTTCGCTAAGATTGGAAGCCCATGGCTCAAGGGTGACATTCGCGTTAAAATCCAACCCAAGAGGAAGTAGATTCTTCTCCCCATCCCTTCAACAATGAGGCCAGCGATGGAAAAAAATAGATATTTCTTCTAATTTTATTTACGAAGTATTGACATTAGTTATCTTCTTTCTGCCTTTAATGTTATACATGTATTTAGTCACCTTATTTAGTCACCCCCCTCTACTCGTCTGACTGTTTTTAATAAAACTTTGCAGGAATGTTTGCATGGGTATTTTCTATCATTGAATACTTTTAGATTGAAACGTTACTAGTCCATGGTTTCCGATGCAGTGTAACACAATTGAATTCCTGCTGCTTTCCTTATCCCACGTAGGTAAAAACCCAAAATGGAATAACATGTAGTTTTCCTATGTTTTAATAAAATGAGAAACGATGTATCCATGGATCCATATGTAAGCGTTCAATAATGATGGCATCATGAAAGTGCCTCGAGGCTCGTATACTTAGATCTTAACATAGTTAGTCAACTAGTCAAACAGATATCTCGTATTCTAATTCATCCAGCTCTGTTCTGGAAGGCCTGCCGGTACTGATTTCCCAAAATGAGGAGTGATGGGAACTCTCCTCTGTCGGCAGGAATACCTAGATATATGAAAGTAACAAGCAGCAATATTTGAATAACAGCTAGTGGCATACAATGCAGCTCAAGTGCTGCATCCAATCATGAGGGTGATACAAAGCATACTTGTGAACTATTGATTTACATGCAAATCACCTAGTTGCAACAAGCCATGCATATGGATATACTAGATGGCCGCATCTAAAGGAATGGGGTTCCCACCCACAGGTGAAGTTTCCAGTGCCAGATTGTAGGCCAATTTGAGTGGGACAAGGTAGTTGAGTGGTTAGGAAACGAAGAGTAAAAGTCTTGGTTTATATGGAATTAGATCTATGTTCACTATCAACTTTACAATGTTGTGGTATATAAAAGGTGTGCAGGGTGAAAACCCCGGTCCAGCAAGCTGGAGACGAAGATATTAGTCTATAGTAAAGATAGATGTCAAGCCAAACGTAAGAAATGATTGTTGGGAAAAAGCTTAATCACGAAAATCGGCGAGGCCAACTCTGTTCTTTTCGAAGTCGAAGAGGATAACCTTGTCCTTAGCAAAATTCTCACCAAGATTTCCGATAACGAAGTTCTCCCCTTGGCCAATAACACGAACGTTAAGGACACAGACATCCTTGCCATCCATGGTCTTAGCTTTGGAGATGTAGTGTCTGGCCTCGATGCTCCAGACTCGGCGCCATTTGCCGAACTGGTACTTCACAGCAGGGAAAGAATCAACCCGGTCACAGTCAACAGAGTAAAACTTTTGCTTTCCATTGTTAGGAAGGGTGGCCATCGTAAGGTTGACGGGCTGGGCATTGGTAATGGAAACAAGTCGCCTGTAACTGGCAACAGACATGGCGGCACCGCGTCCATAACTGGCATGGTCGAAGACTACTGCAGAGCCTGTGGTGGTATTGAGAGCCTGCTCTTCATTACCGATAAAGTGTTTTGTAACCGGGATAGACCAATAGTTATAGAAAGCCGGGTTATAGATGAAGTCGATGTCATTCACAATGGGGAAGACGATAGTGTTGATCCACTCGATTCCACGCCATCCGATATCCCTGTGATGGTATCCACCAAGAGTTTGAATGCCGTCGTTTCCGTTGCACCGTTCTTTCGACGGTGACTTATAACCTGGCTCATCGCTATAGCAATAAATGAACGACGTAAGGCCAGAATGGAACTTTTTCTGTTGGACCATCTGGTGGAATGGAGCTTGGATGGACATGTTGTCTGACTTAAAGACAGGAGACATCCCAAAAATGCCGCTGAATGGGTAGGGAAACGAAGCCTTCCAGTTCAACTGGGAGAGCTGGAGCGTAAGTCGAGATTCTCGGTCACCAACGCGATAAATGTCGGAAGCAAATACTGCGGTAAGATCCTTGTCCATGAAGAAATGGTTGGGGTTCCATGTACGGGTTGGATATAGGTTGGTCTGGTTGACGAGGGAAGTAGATTGTGTCTCATTGAACAGCTTCTGTCCGGGAGCAAGGCATCCATAAGCATTATTGGTATGGTTGCATTTAGTAGAGACGGTGTATGCGCCTATCCAAGTCCAATCGACGAAAAGCCTGGTGGCCTGAGCTGGTGTTCCGATAGTGACTAGGTCTGTATTGAAACCATTCTGGTACAGCTTCAAGGGTAGATCAATCATGCTCTGTTGTCTATCATTGGGAGCGGCACTTGCTTGAGGGATAGTCGCAGCCCCCAGGGCGACAAGGATGAGGATGCCACGCATGATGTCAAGTCAGTGTGGTCACTGTTGGAGTAGAGGGAAAGGAGGGTGAACCAAAGTAGTAGGTCTCGCAGGCCAGCACGAAACTTGGTGAGAATTAGCGATTGAGACAGATATGGATATTCAAGTACTCAGTGTACTTTTATTAACTGGAAACAATTGATGAAGATCGAAGGATGCTTCATCGTAGTTATACTGTCTCAATGTCGAACAGCCACCGTTAACGCCATAAGCCATTCATGGAATGGTCTCCAATAGAAGACTCCGTGCGGAGAGAAGCCATATCTCGAGTGCTTCCGGCACGGATGCTAAGCAAGAAATGTCCGCTGTGTCTCGGCCTTAGGATGCGTAGAGCAGCTGCGTTGCTGAAAGTTGACGTTGCCTGAAAGTTTCGGTACTTTTTCCTGCGCCTATTTTTAGGTGCTGACTAAGTATAAATACATTAGTAATTTTTCACGTGACCTAGCTCGGCACTTCACCCCTTTTTTTTCGCACGCTTTGAACATCGCAACGACGACATCAACATTAACTGCAACGACAGCATGCTAACTCACGAACCAACAAAGCTAGGTGCATCATGATCCTTTGAGTTGCTATGCAGGGAGACAAGGATGATGAAAGTCATCCTAGTCGAAGAGAGTCATCCCTGTGCTATCGTCTTCTAGAATACCATTCTCGTGGCAGCATCGCGTGGGCTCCGGGAAATCTTACTCACACTGAGTGATTCCTAACTTTCAAGCCTCGACCTTGGTCCTTCAATGCCACACGATGTCCACGTGTAGGAGCTGTAACGAGAGTGCCCCTTGCTAGTCACTGAAACCCCTGTGCCTGAGTTCTGGCCACTGGCGGTACTTTCTACCTATCGCCTACTCTTCCTCGCTAGCCATGGTCGACTTGGAAAGAGATATCGCTAGGGCAAAGCTTGTCGCAGAAGCTGTCCCACTGCCCCCAGAGCTGATACCTATGTAGATATTTTGTCCAAAACAACCGACATGCTTCTATTTCAAAGCAGCATGACTCTGAGAAGGATTTACATAGAAAATAGGCCAAATTTATCGAGGAGAGGCTCTGTCCAAGTCTTCTATTAATTTAAGCACCCGCCCGCATTTCCAAGGACCGGACCGGCTCTAAATTAAATCCAATATACATTCATTTTCTCTCCTAGAATACAACGCAGGATTGAATCATTGCGTCCATTTTTTCTTGTCTGCTTTTGTTCAGAGCCAAGCGAAAGTAATCTATCCTCTTCACTAGACTTCCTTCGATTCGGGCCGCCCATTTCACTAAGGAACTATGGATACCATTACTCTCCTTCAGGGGGACGCTGACTCCAACCTCACTCCTCTGATTCTCGTCCACGCCATCTCTGGCCTTGCGCTGCCATACTTTGCTCTCGGCCCCCTCTCCGAGATCGAAGAAGATCGCCCCGTATATGGCATCTCCTCACCAATGTTCACATCAACGTTCGCAAATCCATTGGATGGTACTTTGTCGCAGCTGGCAGAGGAATATGTTACAACTGTCCGTCGTGAGATCCAGCCTTTTGGGCCCTATCTTCTAGGTGGCTGGTCTATGGGTGGCATGATCGCAATGGAGATGGCAGCGATACTCCAGGCGCAAGGCGACGAAGTACCACACGTTTTACTGATTGATTCAGTAAATCCAAGGTACTTTCCAGCATTTCAAGACAAGAAACAGCACGATATACAGGCAGCATTAACATACAATGCTATTGCTACTCGAATGAATGCCCCTGCGATCCCATTATTTCAATGTGGCCTATTTGAAGATGACTATTATAGCAGCAGCGGCGAAGAGAGCAACAACGACAGCGATACCGAAGAGTTTGTGGAAGACTTGTCCGTACCCGAAATGTTAGGAAGGATGAGGAAACATATCCACCAGGGACTTGGTGTTTTGGCCTCCCAAAAGAGCAGAGTGGACGAGTTCGATTTCAGTGAAACGGAAGTCACATTGATCAGATGCACAGTCCGCGAGAGCATAGATTCTCTTGTCAATGACCGGCGCAAAATACTCGCACAGAAGCGATCTGAGGACAATACACTACTATGGCCGGCTGAATCTTTTAAGTCGTTCAAGACCCTTACTATTGACGCTACACACGACGGCTGTTTCGACGCTGAACATGCTGATGAATTGACGTTCCTTGTCAAGGACGTGTTGGACAATCTCGACTATTAAGACTCAAAGCGCATCGTACGCGACATCGACCCATTTCACCCTTATTCAGTTCTTTAACGCCTTGCTTAACCTCAACTATTTCCTGTTATCAAGAACAGACTCAGGAGTCTCTGCTACCGCTTCTACTCGGCAAAACTGTGTTTTTTTTTTTTTTTGTGGGTTCTATGCACACCGCAGCCAAAAGTGCATACTGGAAACATTATATCGATTGGCAGGAAACCAAATGAGGGTCCCACGCAAGATGGGTTGAGCCACCCTCTGTTCAATGTTCTTTTGCAATCATATTTACTGGCTAGATAATTTCCCTCTCTCTTTTTATTTTTACTTATTTCTTCTCCCTCGCTTGTAAGGTGGTTAATGTTTTTAGACTAGACGGAACAGATATATTTTTGCACACAATCCACACTCTTCACTGTCATTGTCCAGCCATTCGTACCACATCTTCTGTAGCAGGCGTGTTTGAGCACTGGCCGCTCGTATCTAGCCAACCCGACAGCCTCCGGAACGGAGTTAAGACATTAAAGAGCTGATTTCAATTCCCGTCTTTAGGTCTTCTCATCAGTTCAGCAAATCCAAGAGCTAAACCGGCACACGCCACTCGTGCAGCAGTATCAAGCTGGCTAGTTGGTTGCGTAGGAAGGCGACTTCTGAAATAAGAGACCAAAAGACGGGGATATATTTTCCGACCAAACCATCCCATAGAAGCGAGCATCTCAGCCCTGCAGCTGAATACGTAGGGACTTTCGGTCTAGATCAGCGCAAGAATGCGCCGAATGTACCCAGCTCCATATCCACGTTGGAAGCCAGGACTAGTTCGTGTCCATACGGGAAGAGAAAAGGTATACCTTAGCGATCAGGATGTTCCATGTTCCCTCACGCCACGTTTTCCCTGGATGAAGCTAGTTTTCTTTTCCCTTGCCTTCCCATGCCTATCCTGGGTGACAGAGGGATGGCAGGGGTTGGTTTTCAGGTTGCGAAGATCCTACGCTCGAATGATGAGTTACTCATCATAGCTGCTGAGTAGTCATACTTACTTTCCTAGGTTATTGGCGAGAAGGAATGCCTAACACCCAACAGCCAGCAAATATCATTTTGTAAAAAGAATATCATCTTCAACAGAAAGAACTATCCGTAGTAAATACCCACGGTAGACTGTCATTAGGCTCCGAAAACATGCATACCATGATGAACTTGCCCTTCCGGTGGATAACGGGGTTATCCCGAATATGCGCCTAAACATGGAGATACTCGATGTGTTTCAGCCTTCTTGAGCACACAACAATGAGGAACAAGCTTGAACTTGGTTTATGAGTTGACTTTTGCAACGGAACATTATCCTTTGAGTGGCATGATTGGGGACTATTAGAGCTTGACGGCCTTCCTATAACTTATCGGTCACCTCCAGTTTTGTCATCGCCCATCTCCTTTACCTCTCCCTACTCTTTTGCTTATTTCCCAACCTCCATCAAGAGGCAGATAGGAATCGAGAAATTTACGCTCGTCGATACAAATTCTTACCCTAAAGAGGTCCAGTGCAGTACCAGAGATACCTAAATAGTTGTTACTTCAATCGCGGGAAAAAATGACCGAAGCCAAACCACACACCCCGGAGCGTGTCCGTGTTGCCATATGTGGAGGTGGCATTGGCGGTCTCACCATGGCTGCTGTCCTTCGCCGGCTCGATATATCATACGTCGTACTGGAGCGATATGCACAGATTACTCCCCAAGGAGCTGGAATATCACTTGCCCCCAACTGTTTGCGGGCTTTAGATCAGCTCGGCATCTTTGAGAAGCTGGCTAAGCATTCACAGGCGATGCGTGAAGTCCACATTTATAAGAACGATGAGTTCTGGGGTTCCCAGAAATTTGGAATGACCAATGAGGCATTTGGATATTATGTCCATAAAATTGAGAGACACCAGTTTCACCACCTGTTGCTGGAGGCAGCAGGAGGTAATGATGTCGTTCGATTGGGCTTCAACGTGAATGATATTGTCGATGAGGAAGACGCTCCTTATGCTATTGTCAGAGCTGAGGATGGCCGAGAAGTTCACACCGACATCATTGTTGGTGCTGACGGGATTCGCAGCTATACTCGTCGAGTAGTAAGTTATTACCCAGGCACATAAAGAGGCTAATTATCAGAGAACTAATGATGGCGTCTGAAATCAATTAGCTGGCCGAGAAGAGCGGGATGAAGGCAACAAACAACATCCGCTTCACTGGCAGAGTCCATATGTCCGGCTACACAAAGCCCTTGACACACTTAACTACCAAGGATGAGGGTGTTGGCCACTGGATGTTGTATGACGACGCCATTCTTACTACCTGGCCATGCAAGGATAACAGACAGTGGTTTATCGGTGTTGCGGTTCGTTGATTGTCACTAGTGAAAAGCGCTAGTTACAGCAAGCTAACGTCCAGTGTAGGCAGCGAAGCTGAAGCCAGGCGAGCAGCCTGATCGATCCGTGTGGAAGGGAGCCACAAAGGACACAATCAACGAGGTCTACGGTGAACGGTTCCATCCATTTGGTGAGGAATCTAAAATGAAGTCGAGTAAGTGTTTATTACTCTTTGCTGTACATAAGAGGGAGAGCGCCACTTACTAATGCTCAACACAGTCATCGATGCTTCTGAGCGTGTTATTGCCAGCAACGTGTTCATGGAGCTTGACGTCCCACACATGGTGAAGGGGAGAATCGTGCTTGTTGGAGATGGTTCGTCTCCCCTTTTATCTGCTATTTTAGAATTAAGATGATGACTAATGCTTTTGGCAGCGGCCCATTCCATGACATCATTTTTCGGCCAGGTAAATTAAGCTTAATTTCCCCAAACCTACCCTTCTCTCCCCACCCACATCCACAATGGAACTAACACTAAGTCTGTTAGGGTGGATGTCAAGCCATCGAGGACGCCGTTGAGCTCGGTAACGCTCTGTACGAGCATTTTCGTCTCAATGACCCCACTGCCTTCGACAGATATTCCGAGGTCCGCCAAAAGAGAGCAAGCGACCTTGTCCAGTTCTCGGATAACTTTGCAAAGGTTCATACAGCCCGACTTCCGTATGGGCTTGGACCCTTGGTGAGAAAGATTCTTTATAAATATGTTCCCACCAGTATATGGGTATGGTATTTCACTTGGCTTTTCAACTACCAGCCAGTTATCAAGTACCCGCTGTTGGATCTTCCTGCTGGTCAGGCAACTTCCGCCCAATAACTCGATGCATTTCCATGCCAGGCGAGGACCACCTTGGTTTGCTGTTACTTATATGTAATGATGGCGAACACGGATACTCTCACTTTACTCAAATTTCCAGTTTTTTTCTCTTTTTCTTTCATTTATTCTACATTTTATAGCATTTGACACCTTGAAACATCACATCTTACTCTTGATAATGTTTGCTATAGACCTTTGCTTTATTTTTATTTAACTAGTTATTCAATGGCAGACACAGGGTTATTTTGTTCTTGAAAGCAGACAACAATCAACACCGTATGTTTCAATTATGTTAGTGCGATATTACCAAATATCAATTAGACTGTGTCGAGAGTTGATGAAAATTCTTCTTCAAGTGCAATTATAATATATTTGTGTAAATGACTTCAAAACCGTTCCGGATCACAAATAAAAGACTCGTTACTTGGCCTGGCGCATGTTATTAAAAGCCAATAAAAAATTTTTTAGAACAATTCCCAATGCGTGTACTCAAGGCGTCAAGGTTATTGTACCCTTCAGTTCAATATTGGGACTCTACGTACGTATATCACAGTCCTGAATCTCAGAATGGGATATGCCGATATACTGTCTATGAAACCGACAGACAGGCACGATAAATAAAATATAAAGATAGATTATATTTGAGTACTCTATGTGCCAGGCAAGGCTCAAAACCTAATACCTTGGTTCTTCAGATATTATTATTTTCATAACCATGTCTAAATCTTCCGTGCAGGTACCAGGCTACAGGGTTTGAATTGTTGGATAATAATTCAACATGAGCCACAACATTTGATTATTTCCTTTCCCCCATTGGTACTTAATTTTGCTTGTGCATTTCTTTCCCTATGGAGCTTGTCGACTAGGGTAATAAGACAAAGTGTTATTATGCCATCCAAATTCGAAACTACAAGCAACTTACAATATTGAATCTTGCTGAAGGTACATTGACATACCTTCAAATTACGTATATTGCAGGTAGCAAAACGCCACTTGGTTGGTTTTCAGGATGATCATGAGTTTGATATAAATTAAATTACTACATCGGATTGTGTCCTATGGATAAAGGACGTATCTACATATAACTTCCACGAAAATATGTACACCAGTGGAATTATTCAACTTTCAATTGCAGTTAAACTTATAGTTGCTTCAGATATATTGAATATTTTACTTAATTTCCATACTGGTGGGTTCTCTGGGCTATAAATACTCCGTGATAGCCTAAATGTTGTCTTAATCGACAATTTCATTTCCCCTTATAGCATTTTCCTACGTCCCAATGCTCTTTTTAGGGCCAACTCATCATGGGTAAACACTTTATCTATCTGACCACTACACAGGGTTCCGGGATTACATGTTGCGTTAGGAGGTACGCAACTGCCATATTAATTTCGTTCGATATCACATCTGTGCTCATTCCCCGCTCTCGATAGAGCAACTACTAAGATTCCAGTAAGAATTATGACGTTCGTATCCGCTACCCATACTCGTATGACTACATATAATCACTTATAAGACGCCAGGTACATCGAACTGCGTCAGATACCGAAATAAGACGGCTTATGTCTTGCTTACGCCTTGAAGGAAAGAGATGATGATGCAGTAATAGTTTTCAAAATTGACCGTTTAACGAAGGCCATCTGTGTAGTGAGATCCTCTATATCCGGTATATCTTACGGCTCGTATACTTCACCATCTGGGTCAGTATTGCTGAGCCTGATGGAGCCGTCCTTCATCACAAGATATACTTGCTTACCTTGATCTATCTAGTTTCAGGAGCGAGCAATATCTGTGTGCCTAAAAAAGTAACTCGCCTTTACAGTATTATAGGTTTAGTTCTCAAATGCTGGTACGGTATGGGGTACTTACTCATGAATGCAAGCTTAGGCAATCCGGCCTTGATCTGACATCAGATTAACTCACAACTGGTACTACCGATCCTGAATATGAGGCCCACCCAAGCATGAAACAGAAGCGGGAAATCGAGTGCCGAGTACAAAAATCGAACTACTATCGTGACGACATAATTAAAGTATTACTTCCTTTAAACGAGTGAACGAAGTTGTAGGCTTCCAGAGTACAAATTAAAGTTTCCTCGCGTGGTTGAAGACCCACTATATCTTGGCATTTACCACGCGGCGGGCCGAGCTCCGAGCGGGCTCAAGCGCTGGACCAATGAAACGTGTACGCTATGACCGAAATCGGAAAGGTGGATTTAGCCGTAACTTTAAATATATTGAAGAGTTTAACTTAGCTACTGTCATTGGAACTCCTTCGCGTCGAGCAGTGAGCCACTTCCTCCCTCCTTCAGCGCTAAGAGAGTCGCGCGGCCAGGGTGCGAACCATACAGGAAAAGTCAGGCTTGATATCCGGCCGAGATATATTTTCTTAGTTTGGCCAGTTCGCTGGCGATCGATCCGTGGATCGGTTACACAATGGGAGTTCGATTCCAGGCTTGAAACTATCATCGAAATAGTTGGGGCACATATCTCGAAACCATCAACGGAAACCTTCGAGCACGTGGGTTTAATATATATCAAACGTTCTATTGAAATTCCCCGTGAAGATCATATAAAAGCTGGTGAATATTCCGGAACTCCTATCCCCAGTTTCAGATCATCTGTGGGTTGAGTTGACGTGCCTCCCGTTTTGGCCATATACAGTGCACGAGCGAAATATCCATCATCACGTGGTACTCAGTTGGTGGTCATGTAAATCCAGCTATCATGCCCTTCGCGGCACTGCATATGAGACGTAGTGAGTACCTGTAGATTAAGAGCATCCAACTACTAACTGGGAAGAAAAGGTGCGATGTGGCGTTACTCCCATATAATACTGTTTACGTATCAAGGCACATCTACAGTCGTGAGATGTTATCCTTGACGTTCGATGCACGAGCACAAGTCTCCCTGCATTCGACGGACGCTCACTAATCATTGCAGAATTCCGCTTTCGTCTTCCTCGTGGTATTGCTAAATTCTCGGAGCCGAAGTCTATAAAACATGGGAACAGGGAGCTGGTAAATCCATGCACGGGAAGGATGGCCTCCCTGCGTCACCGATGCTGCGCTTTTGTCATATTGACCACTCCGATTTGGCAAACGCTCCACTTAGATGCCGTACGCATTGGCAAAAGAGGATGCGCTTTTCTTTCACGCTAACTAGAAGAAAACGTGGCAGCAAAAACACGCTCTAATATTTTTTTTTTTTTTTTTTTTTCCCTCCCTTTCTCGCTTCGACCCGCTGGTGATTAGGTACGATATTAAAGTTTTCGCCCTATACAGCAAAAAACTCGAAGCAGCGGCTGGTGAGGCTGGCTGGCTGTGCTTGACTCTCGCTCTGAGTAACATCAAGACAAGAATAGATAGGGCTCATAAGCGAAAATTCTTGGTATTGAATGAAAGCTGACCACAACCACACCGATGGAATGGGTAAAGTATGGTACTGTATGAAGCGTGTGTACGGAGTTACACGGCTTCGCACATGGCAGTTGGGTGGGATACTTGAGTGCTTGAGTGCATTCTAGGCATCTTTTTCTTGAATTTATTTCTTTTTTATTCCCCCCTTCCTCCCTGCTCATCCTCCTCTTCTACTGCCAAAAGCGTAAAGGCACGGAATAGAATAAGGAAAGAGAGGACAAAAAGGGGTGCATCTTATCGGAGGATTAGACAGCCAGCTGATGGCTGCGAGCCCTAAGAGCTGAGCTGCCGGGTTCGGTTCATTCCTTGCGGTAGCAGAGCAGTAAACACAGGTAACCCTGTATGAGGTAAATGAAAAGAGAGCGCTGGGACTTAACTAACTACCTACTACTCAGCCCCTAGAGAATGGAGACTTCTTGGCCCCTGATCTACAGAAGCTGTAACAGCACCACCAGCCTTGCGGGCGTGCTGCCTGGTGACCATCGAGCAAGTGATTAGTGTTAGTTGCCCGCTCGAAGGCATGCAGAACCCGTGGTTGTTCTGAAAGAATTCCTTGCACGAAACTAACTATGCTGCTAGGGCATACCTAATCTCAAATAGGAGCAACGCTAGGGTGGTAGAGATTTAACTAGCTAGTCAGTTAACTGGTTGTTCCATGCTCTAGCGTCGCTATAGATTTCCTCTTTTCTGGAAATGAATCAGTCTGGCTTCTGTTACGACAAAGCTTTTCTCCATTTTTATTTTTGTTGCTGGTGCTCCCTTTTCTCTTTTTCCGCTCTCCCATCGTATGCGTCCAGCCGCACTGATAGTTGGCTGTCTGCAGGGATTGTCCGGGCCCTGTCTGCTCTGTTGTACGGATAATTGGCTGCTTTTGCCTCATCCTCCTGCTCTTCCTTGCTTTTTCCCCTTTTTCTCATTTAGGTTTGTCACAGAAAATACAGTTAAGGATTTTCTTTCTTCTTTTTTTTATGTTATTTTATTTTATTTTTTTGTCATCGCCCTCGTTTTTTTCAAACCCAAACAACCTTACATCGCGTGGGCAAAGCTGGGGTGGATGCAGCATCGGACCGGGGGTGGAGGAGAAGCGGACGAGATGCTGGTATAAAGGTTTACCAGGTGGGAGAAAAGCCCCTTGCCGATCCTCTCATCACAGTCGAGAAAGGATCACTGCAGCAAGGGATTCAGCATCTTCGAGATACACATCAATCAACCTATATATTTACCCTATCCGTCCTGCATAACTGAAGTCTCCTCAGAAGGTCATCATCATAATCATATATAACTATTCATCCTGCATCGTGCCTCTTCCCCCCTCCTATCATTCTCAATACACCTTCGACTCCTTTGCCTCAACCCTGACATCAACAACACCTGGAGTTAGCCATTGACTGGCATCTGGGATCGAACACCTCTAGAGAGGGCACTTAATAACCATAATCCTAATATATAATCGCTGCTGGTTACCCTCTCCTCTGGAAGGACAGAGACTCCTCGCTGCTCAGCACAACATTTACACTTGGTTATTGAGATAATTCATAATGAGTTCATCATCACACAGTCAGTACCTTTTCCTACAGTCATGCGTCAACATTTACAAAGGTTAGCTGACATTCTATGCTGCTGAAGGAACGCCTGTGCTGAGAAAGAGTTGCCACTTTTGCCGAAGCCGAAAGATCAGATGCTCGGGGCAGAGTATCTGTGAAGCTTGCCAGGAGCGAAACATAGACTGCGTCTATGACCTCGAGGCAGCAAAAGGCCGGCCAAAGCGTAAGCATGTCGAGTCAAGGGACTCAAAGCTGGGCTCTGACCGTGACCATGCTGGCAAAGGAGCTGGCTCCCAGGACGGGAAATCTACTGGACAATGGGATCCCAGCCTCCAGGGACCCCTAATGGGCGATGACTTAAAAGCAATGTTCCACGAATGCTTCATTAGCAAAGTAGGTATGCGAGCGACGATCTTTCAGGGTGCTATTGCAGCTGGCCATGAGCGTCTAAAGCAGACTGGAAGCAATTCTGCGTCTCACGAAGCGCCACAGAGAATAAGCTACGACGGGTTAATGAGTTCCATGACCCGAGAAATCGTCGAAATGATATCCCTTCGTTTCGGAGACTTGAACTGCGAAGTGGAAGACAACTTCCCTCGACGTTACTGCATCACAAGCCTCGCTCGAGATACAACCCAGGAGATGTTCGACAACACCGTCCCAAGGAAGAACCCGCTGAAGTCCTATTCTTCGCACCGTATTCTCCAACTCATTGACTTGTGGTTTTCTGTCCATCCCCTGTCCTCCTTGATTTCGAAAACACTTTTGCTCAGCTCCCTGAAAAACAGCACCTACGACGAGGCTCTCCTGGCAACCATCCTCTCTGATGCCTGCCTCGTTCATGAAAATGGCCAAAATTACGACACCGAGGGACAACTCCTCTTCGAGTTTGCAACTTATCAAATCCAAAATCGAAGCGTATTGAACCGAGATATTGCTTCCTCTCAAGCCTTGATTCTCATGGCCTGGAGAGAGATATGCATGGGAAACGCTCGACGAGGCTCATGTCTAACGGCGTATGCCTGCCGCATCGTTTCGGAGCTACACAGAGGTCTGAACCAAGGTGTCTCTTCTAACGGAACAAAATTGAACGGCATAGATGTTCGATATGTGGATGGTGAACTAATCCGGAACATATACTGGGTGTGCTGGTCAACTACAGTCTGGTCCTTGATGCAAATTGACCAGCCATACAACCTTCTCCTACCGGAACAAACCCCTTCACAATTCCCATTTGTTGACGAATCCACCTCCATGACAATTAGCCTGGACTTGGCGTCAGACAATGTCTCAACGTTAAGAGCACAATCAAGGGCCTTACAAGAGCTGTGGCCTCTGAGCCAGGTAGCAAGCACAGCAGCTCATATATATGCCCTTTGTCCAAGCCCAGACATTAAAGATACCCTGGAGACAGTCGAATGGCAAGCAAGGCACATCCATCAACTCCGCCGTCTGCTTAGTTTTCAACTAGAGCTTCCTACCCTCTGCGGTAAAATCCGACACATCCTCCTCGAGGCCATCCGACAAGTTGAACTTGAAGTTGCCCCGGGCTCCACACAAGCGGTTGTGCTTATTGCATACCATACTATGATCGTTCACATGCTATTTCCCCAGCGACAAACCTCAGACAGCGTCATTATCATGACGCCAGAGCGCATTAACGAGTTCTGTCAATCGGCCAATGCCTTGGTTGCTATTTCACACTCCGTTATCTCTCCACAAACCACCAGCCTTCTCCCTGGCCCTGGGCTCAAAACGAAAAACGTCTCCGATATCTTTGCTCTTGGCCTCGACGCCTGCAGCCGAGCACTTGCATATATACATAGCCGTACAAACTGTGGCCGTGATGAGTACCAGGCAATAATGGCCAAAAACAGGCAACTGTTTTACCTTGCACAGCAATTGCACGATATCAGCCGAGGAGAATTATCTAGAGCATCAGCAACCATGCGAACCATCAAGAAGCGGCTAAAGTTTGCAAAGGTTGTCTTCTCTTCTATCAACGAGTCTACACCGCCCCTTGTGCATAGTGATCCCTCTCCTATTGCGCAATTCCGCTCAAGAATCCAGAACCTCTCTCAGAGCAGCAATACAAGCGTATCAGGGGGCCTGTCACAGCCAGGATCTCCCATTCCGGATGACACATCTTACCTGTCAGCAATTCCCAACCAACTACCTCTCGACATGTTCCTCGGGTCAGATACCTCCCCAGTATCCAGCCAAGATGGGTTTGATACACTGCATATGCACACGTCTGGCTCCTCGCTTGCAACCTTAGACCACAGTGGAATGACATCGCCTTTCACTCCAGCTGGTATGTCACCACTACAGCCACCCAGAAAGATACGGCGGACTGTTAGTCCGCCCTCCTTTGAAAGTCAGGGGAAAGCTAACATGTTTGAGCTTTCAGAGCCAGTCATGTCCTCCAAACCGGAGCATATCCCACGCAGCAGTGGATCTCCATCCTTGAATAACGGCTCCATGTTCCGCAATGGAGGAGGGATGGGTTTGATGGGCCTTGACATGACGCCAAATGATGGCCACAAAAAGTTCCTTGGGGAACCAATGAACTTCTCTCAACAGCTGTTTATGTCTTCGGAAAACGATCCTGACTTCGGGTCTGGGCCTCTTCTCTTTGGAAGCCCCCTGGACACCAATGGCCATGGAGATTTCAATGGCATGCCAGATCTAACTTGCATAGAAGGCGAGAACGGTTTCATGCCCTTAGATCTCGGCTATCTTGGTTAAGCTGGGTAATTTTGACGACGATTACGGCATTTCATCCTACACAAATAGATCACAGCCCAGCGGGAGGCACATTCGGTTTTACTGGCGTTCACCATGCATCCTTATTTCATTGTGGTCCTCCCTTTACTCTGTCTTATTTAGCGTTTTAAGGTGTCGGCATCTTGTTTTCTAATTTCCATCTAGATTTCTTTCCTTTACCAAAATACATTCAAGTTAACCATTGCATTTGAGATATTGCTAGCAGGTTTAAAGTTGCATCATATGCATTGTATCTAGGCTATCACCCATACAAAATTAGACAATCATACGATCCTTTTCACAGGAACGCCACCTAGGGGCTCCAAGTGTCGGTTGTATTGCCTTTCCCGAGATACTCCGTCAGAATCTGGAGATATGGGTGTGAAAATGCTCAACGTAGTGGAATATTTTACGATGCGCAGTAAGCGACGTCTGTTATTTTCCGCATTTAAACGAGAACGTAGGGAGCATCTGTAGTTAGGGTGTCTGTCTGTGAACTGTGAAGTCAAAAATAGGGGAAAGGCCGTGGAGAAGATGAGGTACATAGAACAGATCCCGCGGTCGGTAATTGGGCTAATAGTACAAGGCAGAAAAACTAGGGGAGCAGACACAAGGGACGAACTGGTCTGATAACGGCTTCGTGGGCTTGGTATACTTGCATGGCAAGAAAAGTGAATTATGGGGAGATCCGAGTACCGTAGTCTTCAAACAGTTACTCAGGAGCCGCTGGGGTACAGTATTATGATCATCAATCAGGGGCCCAGATCTCATAGCTGCTAACTATTATCCAAGGGAAGTGTACTCAGTGTGCACAAGTTCTGCTCAGACCTATTACGCTGCTCAGACCTATTACGAAATACCTGGACGTATGATAGAGAGCTCGTGACTCAGGGTTATCAGCGAAATGGGGATAATTGCCAACAATAGGTGTATTCGAGAGCATTATCTCCGTAAGGAGCTCACAGGGTGAAGGGTATTTCTGGTAGGAACGAGTGTTCGCGCTTGATATTGGTTAGCGTGTAAATTGTGCCGCTGTCTGGTACCATGGGCGATCCATAACGTGATAACTAATGCGTAGGTACTTGGTGGGCTGTATTGTAATCACAAATATCCTTGTTCCAAGGGAGAAATGAAAGCAAAAAGAAGAAAAAAGAAAAGAAAAGAACAAGGAATGGAGACAAAGTGAATCCTCAGGGTCCAAGAGCGTGGCTCTAGAAAATTCGACCACGATTGAAGGCGCTGAGCAGCGAGGATGTTCAGAGCCATATGCCGGTTCTCAGGGCGAATCCTTGTCCGGATCCCCTAAAAGGATTGATATCAGCAACACCCAGATACAGGATGGATCCGTACGGTTCTGATAGCCCTTGTATCAAGGCAGACTACTAGTTTAAGCCTGCCATTAACTAATAGGAGGCAAGAGCTTTAACCCGGGGGATTCACATCCCTGCCAGATATCATGAAAGCAGGGTCATTAACCTTGCAGTCCTCGAATGGGAGTGAGAATGGGAGGCAAAAAAGAAAAAAGTGAGCAAAAAAGATGTAAGTGCAGACCTTACTGTCCACTTTCTCAGCCCAAACAAATTTCCAGGATTAAGCTGAAAGGTCCTGTGCATGGAGGTTGAACTATGTATGAAGAGCTTTATTTGAAGAATTGAGGAATGCAAAAAACGAAAAAAAAGGAAAGAAAGAAAGGGTGAGTGAGAAAGAAAAAGAAAAAACATTCATCCCACAGGGATGAAAATTTAAGCTGGGCCGAATACAGCTTGGACTGTGTTGCTTCATCGTTGACTCGCGTGGCCACCCAATTTCAATTAAATCAAATCGGGGAGGGGGGGCAACATAAGACATTATGGCCGGTTGATGGATTCGATACAGTAAACAGGCCATACCATACAAAATAAGGGTCAATATTTCTCTAGTTCCATCAGCATAAAAGCTGAGTGAAAGATCGAAAATCCAGGCCTGACTCATGCTCATAGACATTCCTCATCCTAGGGGATGGTATTCATTAAGGAGTGATGAAGGCAGTATACCCGCAGGTTAACACGGTTGACCGAGGAACCTGGTGGTCCCTTGGGGTAGGTAGGTCGCCTCACGAATAAGGATGAGTTCGTATCGTATTATTAGCATACGCACGAAAGGGCACAGCAGCCCTACAATCCCATAAAGCCGGTACTGAAAACGAATGTAATCCTGCACCACGCATTGATATTAAACCATCGTGCTTTTCATAGCTGATGTTGATTCGATGGCCAGGCGGGTTTTAGTCCAAACTGGATTCTCTGTGGGCTGACCACATTATAACACCCAGCCCACGGAAAAGCATCATTCTGCAGACATGAACAGAGCTATCTCACCGAGTTTTACGGTGTATATATGCCTGCACAAAAAACAAGTCGAACGGTTTGCGTCCAGGCCGAGCGCTCATTAATCTCAAACACCGAATACTGCGCACCAGCTCATCTCGGTGGGGGGTTTTTTTTTGGCGTCATAGCGGCAAGCCCTGCAGCCCTTATCCAAGCCTCAAGCCTAATCGTGCCCACAGCACCGATCTTGATATACTTATGTCAGTCTTGGTTTCGAGTCGATGCTGCAAGGCTGAAGGCTCAACATGAACTTTCCGTCTGAAGCGGAAGGACAGGTAAAAACAATCCCATTCCGTGGGGTGCTTGGGTGAGTATAGTATATTTTCAACCCCAAGTAAGATATCTTGTCCGTTAGTATTGATCAATAATCAGTCTAGCTGTTTCGCTGGTCGTCGTCAAGAATCAAATTCGCTGCGACTTTTGTTGTTGTCGTCGGCAAAAGTTAAATGGCTTAGTAATCAGACCCCGCGGTCAGAATGCCGAACAAACAACCATCATCGGGGAGAAGCTGAAGCCTGAAGCAAAGGTGATGAATCGACATTTCTGCAAGTAAACGCAATCGAGAGTATTTCACACTGCAATAATATCATGGCGTCACTTCTTAAAAAGCCATTGAAGATTGCACTGGTGCAGCTGGCTTCGGGTAAGTCTTCGGAGCTGAAGCGCGTTCCAAAAATTCAACGAGAGTCTGAATCTGGGCTGACTACCTGTATTTCTTAGGAGCTGACAAGGCCGTTAACCTTGCACATGCGCGATCAAAGGTATTAGAGGCTGCGCGGGCTGGGGCTTCGCTGGTAGTCTTGCCGGAGTGCTTTAATTCACCCTATGGCACGCAATACTTCTCCAAATACGCAGAAACCCTTCTTCCGTCTCCGCCATCCCAAGAACAATCCCCATCTTTCCATGCATTATCCTCTATCGCCAAAGAGGCCAAAGCATACCTCGTCGGTGGGAGTATCCCGGAGTTCGCCCCAGACAGCAAGAAATACTATAATACCTCCCTTGTATTCTCGCCGACGGGTTGTTTGATTGCTTCTCACCGGAAGACTCATCTCTTTGATATTGATATACCCGGGAAGATAAGATTCAAGGAGAGCGAAGTTCTTTCTGCGGGCAATAAAGTCACTATTGTCGATTTACCGGACTACGGTAAAATAGGACTGGCCATTTGCTATGATATTCGTTTCCCGGAAACTGCTATGATTGCCGCTCGGAACGGCTGCTTTCTGTTGGTTTACCCAGGTGCATTCAACTTGACCACAGGCCCGTTGCATTGGTCGTTACTGGGTCGTGCTCGTGCCATGGATAATGAGGCATATGTCGGTCTCTGCAGCCCTGCCAGAGACCTTGATGCCACATACCATGCTTGGGGTCACAGCTTAGTTGTCAATCCCAAAGCGGAGGTCATAGCAGAGGCCGCCGAGAAGGAGGAGATTGTATATGCTGACCTGGAGCCGCAAACTATCGAAGAAATCCGGAAAGGAATCCCCATATATGAGCAAAGGCGATTCGATGTATATCCTGATGTAAGCAAAGGGAAAATCAGATTCGAGGAGTAAAACGGAGAGGGCTCTATACAAATGATTCAGCGATACCTTTTCCTCCATAGTTATTCTTCAAGGATGCCTATTTTCAATCAAAACCGTCGAGAGCTTGCTTTTCTTGCACTCCTAAACCCCTGGATTATGTAAGTAGCTGGTGCGGACCAGAAGCTTGGCATCCAGCTACCTTTAATCAGGTGAGTGTAGGAAATATTACATAATAAGCGAAACACACCAACTTTTGTAAAATGGAAAAAGGGCGATCGAACTTTTTTGTTCGATTTCGACTTCAGCAACATCCCCTTCGACACAGAGATTTCACAGCTGTCTCTGCAACTCACAGTATGTTGAACCATGCCGGCTGCATATATATATACGAGTACAACTAACAGCTTCTTGCGCCATAGAATCATAATGTCGAGCGCACAAGCCGGAAAGAAGGGCCGCTCGGCCATCTCTGATGTTGTCACCCGAGAGTACACCATCCACCTCCACAAGAGAGTACGTTGAACCAAATCAATTATACCGTTAGCAATCCGATTGCATACGCGTATTGCCCCCCAAGTTCAAGAGCGTCTGCGGAAAAGGCGACATCTGCTTCAGTCGGGTGATGACGAGGGACATCATACACTGGAGTCGCGGGCCTTGCTTGTTCAAGGCCTACGATTACAGTCGCAAGGTTGACACAATGTTGTGGTATCCCTCGTCAGGCTGCACAACGTTGTTGGAATTTCATACACACTGCCTTGAGCTATGATTGCAGTTGGCGCGGTTGTTATCACGACGTCACTTCAAGAGCGAGAGGGAGAATTCGAAAAGAAAATGAGAATTAGTTTTATGAAGTCCACCGCTATGGCCCCGGAAGCAAATGCTGTCCTTGTCGCTGAACATTAAATACGGGCATTTTGGACGGAAGACTGATTTGTATTTTCTTGTTGTGGGTATAGGTTCATGGCGTATCTTTCAAGAAGAGAGCTCCACGAGCTGTCAAGGAGATCCGTGCTTTCGCCGAACAGGCTATGGTAAGTCTATCTTTTATTCTTACATATAAAAGTCAAGCACTGGCTAACCCACTTTCCTGTCCAAATAGGGCACCAAGGACGTCCGCCTCGACCCCCAATTGAACAAGAAGGTCTGGGAATCTGGTATCAAGGGTGTTCCATTCAGACTCCGTGTCCGCATTAGCCGTAAGCGTAATGACGAGGAGGGTGCCAAGGAGAAGCTCTACTCTTACGTCCAGGCTGTCAACGTCAAGGACCCCAAGGGTCTCCAGACCACTGTCATTGAGGATGCTTAAATGACTACTTAGTATTCCAAGACTGAGGGTTCTTGTTCGAAGATGCCAAAAAATAAATTCAAAAATAATACGGCCGAATATGCTGTTGAAGGTCTTCTTTCCATATCACTCATGAAATATGAAGCATTGTGACGTCAAGCGTCGAAGGGATGGATCACTTCATGTACTTACTGGGCTGGCAGGTTGGCGTTCTCCCCGTAATTCCTGCTATTTAAATTTTCAAATCCATAAACATTCGAAAATAAGTACAGGTCCATCTATCTTTACGCTAGATGTTGTCACCGTAAACATCTTTAGTTTCCTAGAGAGTACGTCACATACGTTTGGGTGTAGGGATTCATATGATTGACATTTATTGGTTATTTAGGCACACGCTGGAAGGCAGCATGTGTACCTTTTTAACTATTAACCCAAAGTACAATGGTGGTAAGGGGCAAAGAAATCTCCGATGTCTATCTATGATGGCTCCCAGTATCATGCAGAAGAACTAGATTTGGTTCTTTATTAAAGTGGAGGTAGGCCGGCATGTGGATGTGGGATTTGGGAAGTAAAAGGGTAAACGCTATGCTTGTAAATCGAGACCAGGGGTCAGAGGAGTAAACTGATTGGTGAAACTGAAGGGGGATAAAGTGTATGGGATGAATTTGAAGGAAAAGGGAAGATCAGGGGACTAACATTCAGAGTTAAAGGGGCGAGGAAACTTTTCTGAAAAGGCCCAACATCATGATTGAAGAAAATGAATAAACGGGACGGGGGCACATGCACGGATAAGGAGCAGAACCCATCACATCATATGTATTCCTTGCGTCAAATAGGACTGCAATAGCAAATATGGATCAAACGTGGGACGGAAGAAATGAACAAGCAAACAGGGGGTAACAAGTTCGATCAATGTCGTTCAGGTCAGATAGTACATTCAAAAATACAGAGGCAGGGTGAAAGTAGGGCATCAGTAGCAAACGGAACCACATAAACCACGTTAGCATAACCAGAGACTCCAGGGAAAAATCAAGCTGGATAGATTGGTTTAATCTCTCTTCTTATGCTCTTCCATAGAATTTCTCAGCTCGCAGGCGCCTTCAGCAGTCTTCACACGAAGCAACCAGTGCTGGAAGCCTGACTCGGAAGCAACAATAAACTGGACACCAGTCCCATTCTGCTTGTAGTCAATTTCAGGCATCAAATTGGTGTTGAGGACAACAGAACCACTAGGGTCGGCACGAAGAAGAATTCGAGATTTCTTGTTTGTGCGGTGTTTGAGGATGCGGAGAACCCCGAGGCCCTTGACCTCCCATTGACCGTTGATGTGCTGATAGGCACGAGAGCGGCATTCGAAGACTGCATCCTCATCCTCTTCACCAGGTCCGCTGCGAGTAAAGTCAACCTGTGCATGCTTCTCCACCTCATCACTTGGATCGTTGGTGGCGTCTGTATCAGACTGGGCTGGGCTGGGGTCGACAGATGTAGCGGCGGACAGTGGGAATGGAGACAAGCCTGGCTGAGCGGAGGAATTGCCAGGTTTCAGGTGGCCGAATATGTTGGTTGTCGGTGGTGCGAGAGAGCTGTTGCTGGTCGGAGTTGGGGCGGACGAGGGGGTTGCAAAGATGCTAGTCGGTGCCGGCGCAGAGGTAGATGGAGGTGCGCCAAAGATATTAGATGGTGGCGGAGTAGAAGTAGGAGATGGAGCAGCGAAGATGCTGGTTGCTGGAGCAGAGCCGCCAGCTGCAGAACCCGAGGCGGATGATGGCGGTGCGCCGAAAATGTTGGAGGTTGTAGTTGGCTTGGACCCGCCAGCGGAGGATGTAGATGTGAAAGAATTGCTGGCACCGAAGATATTAGATGACCCGCTAGGAGCAAGATTGGCGAATATGGATGGTGTAGATGTCTTAGCCTTTGGCGGATCAATGGGAGATGGAGAACGAGTACTATCCAGGTCATTTGTTGAACCGGTGAGAGGGGTTAACGATCCAGCATTGAAAGGAGAACCAGTTCTCGAACCTCCCATGACAGAAGAAGCAAGCTCGTTAGCCTCGTTGGCTAAAGATTTAGCTTCCTCGTGAAGCTCATCAGCCTGCACCTGGCGGATAGGCTGACCGTTCTCGTCTCGCTGAACTCTGTCGAAAAGGCTGCGACCACCGCCATTTGAAGTTGAGGGAGGAGAAACAGAAGGAGTAGTGGTCTTTTCTTCCTGCTTTTCAGCGTCAGTCGACTCCTCCTCTTCATCGGATTCTTCGCTTTCCTCGGAGCTAGCACCATCGGCATCAGCTTCAGCATCAGCTTCATCATCACCATCTGCAGCCGAAACACGAGATTTTTGAGCAACAAAGGAGTTGGCAAAGAGGGAGAGTGTCTTGGACGGAGTTGCTTCGCCAGCCTCGTCAGTTTTATCGCCGCTATCATTTTCTTTGTTTGCACCGAACTTGGTCCGCTTGCCGGCCTTGTCGGATGAAGTACACTCCTCTTCTCCTGCGTCAGATGCTTTTCGTTTATGTGACACACCAGGCGGCCCAGAAGGAGCTGCATCAGCATTCGATACAGAAGTTTTAGCAGCTGCCTGGGCACGCTCTCTCTCATACTCCGCATCGTAATCGGAGAAAGGTGGTAGTGGCTTGCATGGAAGCTTACTACCCGGGGTAGCTGGGATATATTGGGTCACAATGGGGTGAGGGTGGCCAATCAACTTGCGAAGCATGACATAACGACCGATGATAGGATCAAGGTCTTGACTCCAACAGTTCACAGAGGCAATCTCTTCTTGGAAGCTGGCATTGAGAGCAGAGAGACGCCAGAGACGAAGGAATTGCTCACGAACTTCTGGCGTAGCATTTGGCGGGTATTCAGCTTCTGTAGGACGGAAGTTCACCATGGTAACTGAAGCTTCAAAGACAGTCTCAGTGGAAGCGTCTACATATCTTGGCTTTGGTGGAGCAGGAGCTTCAGCTGGAGCAGCTGGAGCAGGAACAGGAGCAGCTCCAAAGGTTGGTGATAACGGTTTAGAAGCACCTGAGGTGCCAGCATTCACAGAATTGGTGAACATTGGCTTTGGCTGAGTAACCGGGGGGATGTTGGTAGAGGCAGCGAACATTGGAGCAGACTGGGTAGGGGTTTTGTTTTCAGTCTGAGTTGCAGTAGGCTGTTGCTGAGCTTGAAAGATAGAGTTTGAGGAAGGGGTGGCGAAGATAGAAGGAGTCTGTCCTCCAGTGGTAGCCGTAGCAAGCTTTGGACTCTCAGCTGGCTTGGTAGTCTGCCCGAAGAAGGAGAAGGCAGGCTGGGTGGTAGGCTGAGCTGTAGTCGTTGATGCTGCACCAAACAGAGGTTTGGAGGTGCTGGGAGCGGAAAACAAAGGAGGGGATTCCTTTGCTGGGGAGGTGACGGTTTCGGCCTTTGGTTGAGCAAGGTGACCGAAGATTGAACCGGTTTCTTTTGCGGGAGCAGGCGCTGCATCTGTCTTTGGCTGAGCTAGGTTGCCAAAGAGAGAACTGGTTTCCTTCGTAGGGGAGGGAGTAGCATCAGGCTTTGGCTGACCCAGGTTGCTGAAAATAGAGGAGGTTCCATTTGCGGCAGAAGCAGAAGCCGCTGAATTATTCGGCTGAGCTAGATGACTGAACAGCGAGCCACCTGAAGGAGCAGTAGAGAAAGAAGGGTTTGCCCCAAAAATGCTGGGTGGTTGGGTGGTAGAGGCAGTGGTGGCTGGAGCAGCAGCGGTAGTGGTGGCCTGGGGAGCCTCAGTTGGCTTCTGCTGTCCAAACAAAGGAGTGGAGGTGGGAGTAGAAGCAGAAGCACCGAACATGAAATTACCAGAGCTGACAGCGGGAGCAGCCTTTGATTCCTCGGGCTTAGAAGCACCAAACAATGTGGAACTACCAGAAGATGCGGGCGGGGCAGGGGCACTAGCAGTTGGGTTGAAGGAGAATGCTGGAGTTGCAGCAGATGTGGTTGCGGGGGTTCCTCCCAGATTGAAGATAGATCCAGACCCAGTGGAAGGGCTTGAGAAGGCAGGTTTGAAGATAGGAGGGGCTGGAGCAGAGACATTAAACATGGCTTGACCAGCTGTAGACTTTGGACCATCTGGAGACATTTGCATTGCCTCGCCGCCACCAGTAGACTTGGTAGGACTGGGCATTGTAGCAGAGCCAAAGATATTGGTAGGAGGGTTGTTGTTGTTGCTCTGTCCGAACATGTTCGGGCCAGCAGATGAGTTGAAAAGAGGCGCAGACGTGGTTGGCGTAGCACCAAAGAGAGGAGCACTGGTCTGCGCAGGAGGCTGTCCAAAGAAACCACTAGTTCCGTTTTGCTGGTTTTCAGGTTTCTTGTTCTCAGGCTGAGAAGCTCCGGGGATATTGAACATGCTTCCTTTGAAACCCTGGAAACCGGTGTTCTGGTTGGAGCTCATGTTGCTGAACGGATTGCTTACTTGCTGAGCGTTGTTTGATGAGAAATCGAATGAAGGAGGTGCGGAAGTAGTCTGGCTACCGAAGAGCTTAAAAGTTCCGGGAGTGTTGCTTTGATTGTTATCAAAGCTAGAGGACGCAGACGGTATGTTGTTTGAGGTTCCCGTGGCTGTAGCAGGCCGTGAGAAGCCCTGGGACTGTCCGAAAGTGAATCCGTTTGACGGAGCTGTGAAAGCAGATGAAGAAGTTGTATCCGTACCCACAGAACTGAAAGGATTCGCGGCTGGCTGTGGAAGACTGGGGGAACCGACTCGAGTTCTTCGTTCTCGGGCAGCCTTGATTCTAAGGTGACGTCAACTTGCTGGTTCGAAAAATAACGAAGATATTAAGACGACTTGTGAACGAAGATGGAAAACGGGGTGATGTTGAACTTGAGCTTGGACTTGAGCTTGAGCTTTGAGACAGCTGGTGAAAGAGCAGTTCTTTGGCAGATGACAAGGACAAGGAGTTTGATATCGGCGCAGGCAGCAGGTAAAATATATAGACCCAGCCTGCAACACAGGACGAGGACACAGGACGAGGACAGGCCGAGACTTCATCGAGGGGGCTGGATAGGACAGCGTATACAAAGAGAGGGGAACAGACAATACAAAGCTTTGTTGTCTCTCCGTCTTCATTGTGTGTTGGGTGCTGGTGGTATTATTGAAGCCGAGTGTGTGTTGTTGGTATTATCAATAGCAGCAGTCCTCACCCAGCCACCGCAGAAGCAGAGAAACGTCATAGAAGAGAAAGAAAGACACTATGAAAAGCACATAGGATACACTCTACTTACTTTCTGTTGGCTATCTGAGCCGCTGTCGCCCGCTTGGGCGCATCGTTGGAAGACATTTCTGGCTCAAATTCTCTATCCGGTCCCCCTTGACCCGATAGCGACCAAGCAAGCTAGCTGGCCAGACTCTCTAGCAAGTTCTCTCACCGGCGGACCTTTCTAACACAGCAGCGTCATGAACCGCCGCCGCCGCGAAGGGGTATGGTGTGTCTCGTGTATTTATCCCAACCTCTTCAGGCGCAGGATGTCTCCCAGCCAACGACTTTTATTTCACTTTTTTCAATCAACGCGAGCGAGGATGCGCAACGAGAACGGCAGGACAAGGAGAATCGACGATATCCCGGGCGTGAGCAGGTGTTTCCTCGATGTCTCGAGCTGGTCAAACCGCGACAGGACGAGAGAGAAGTCGGCGCATCGACGGCGACGCGGACGAGAGCGAGTGCAGTTTTCGTGCAGTTTTCTCTTTTCTACCAGTCGCAAACGCCGTGACCCAGAGAGGAAAAAAGCTTAGTCATCCAGTGGACAGCATTTTTTCTTTTTTTCTTTTTTTTTTTTTTTTTCTCCTCTTTTTAATAGGCTAGCGACAGTGAGGTCAGGATGGAGGAGGTTTGGAGTGTGTTATATAGCGTGGTAGGCATCAGAGATAGAAACACTGGATATACATGTCTCTGGCGGCAGAGACAGGAGAAACAAGTCTAAGATGGATATTATATTGATGATAATATACAGAGGAAGAACTCCCGGCTCAGGAGGATATACACAGCCTATAATATCCACCAGCACATCACATTCCGTCGTCTATAGAACAGATCCTCCTTCTCCAGCATGGGTCCTCCGCTCCAGAGTAGAATTGCTGAGATTGCCTGGGGTGTGTCATCCTCCTCAGTCCTCAGGCTATATCGCCCATTTTTATCGTTCGTCGTGAAATATGAAAAAGAAAGAAAGCAGGTCGGAAAGCAACAGGCATAGTATTTACAGCTTGGCCTTGACGCCAGTGTTGGCCTTGGCCTTGCTGAGGATAGGCTCGATCTTCATGGCCTTCATGGCGTTGCCGCGGATCTTGAGCTTGCCGCCCATGAAGAGACGCTGGGCGTTGGCGGTGCCAGCGACGAGGCCGGCGAAGTCCTTCTCGGACAGGACGAGGGTGACTGCAGGTTTGTTAGCACTTGAGGGATTCCGATTCCTGTGCGAATGCGAATGTTTTCAGCTCACCATCGGCCTTGCCACCCTCTGGAGCAGCGCCCTTGCAGGCGACACCGTCCTTCTTGAAGTCGAGGTACCAGCTCTCGGTGGCGCCAGCCTCGTTGGTGAGGGTGAAGGCGAAGATGCCCTGGGCGGCCTTGATAGCGGCCTCGCGCTCCTTGGGATTGGCCTTGAGCGTGTCGTTGATCAGGTCAAAGGCAGCGGAAGAAGGGAAAGAGTCTGGTGGTTTCTTCGTCAGTATGTATGATGAAGTTTCAGCCGGGCGGCCCGTCCAGGCATAGTAAACTCACCGATCTTGACAGACATGATGGCGGTAGCTGGTAGATGCTGCTTGGGATAGAAGAGTCCTGTGTCTGTACGGTCGAGAGCTGGAGCTGTGGGAGGTGTCGAAAGGAGGCGAGGAGAGAAGAGAAGGCGGAGGAAGCATCTTATAGTTATGGGGCCGCCGTCGTTTTCCCCGTAACAGCAAAAGGCCCGAGGAGATCGCGTGCATGTGAAAGTCGTGAAAGTCGATCTTCCTCTGCTTATTTTGGTGTCTCTCCCATGTCGCATGTTCGTGTCTTCTCGCCGAGGGAAAATACACACATGAGACGAGAGATTCTGCATGTTGATCGCTGTGGTCAGCTACTCAATACCTAGCTAGCTCATGTCTACTCGTTGGTTAGCTCCTGGTGGCTGGCAACAATGAACCAATATATATATAGAAGCTAGAAAGAAGCATAAAGATGTAATAATAACTAAATAACTAGATATAGATAAATAGATTTAACATACATGCTCAAGAATATAAAGATAGTCAGCCCTCGTCGTCGTCGTTAATAGTTACTCCAGATTTCCCCTTTTTTTCCCTTTTCCGCCCCCAAGAAAAACAGCCGAGGTTCCCCAGACGCTCTCGGGATGCTGCAACTCCCACCACACCAGAAGCCACAAGGTACCTCAAGTAGAAACATAAGAAATGGTCGTAAAGTATGGCCGTTATAAACATAAAAGTAAAATAAAAAAGAAGCGTGGCAGAGAAGGAAGAAGAATGAAAAGAATAAAAGACAGGAGAAGGGGCTAGAAAGCCCTGACACGCAGGACTGAAGCCCTCAGTAACCGTCTCATATGCTCTGGTCCACACCCCAACAGCTCTCTTGTTCGGTCCGTGGCCTTCTGCAGCTGAACTTGGCCATACCCGATCTTGGAACCAGCTCCAGTTCCTGAGCCAACCGAGACTGTCGATCCCGATCCAACAGTCGATATGGCCTTGCCTCTTCCCCACAGGCGGATGCTGCTGCCAGCCTTGTTTCGACGGCCTTTCTTGCGTCGTCCGGCTTCTTCGAGGACAAGTCGTTGTAGCTGTTTGATTTCCATACCAGCTGCACTCAAGACAAGAGGGACATCCATCACTTCGACTTCCTTGGTTACCGCGCTCTTCTGGCCCTGGGGTGGTGGTGGTGATGGTGAGGGCTTTGCCTTCTTTGGTGACGGGGCCAGCGGTGCCAGGGCATCATCCCATGTCCCTGAGCGTAGCGTTGTGGCTTCAAAGTTGATCTCGCGCAGGGCATTACGGTGGTTGCGAATAAAGGATGACACCTGGGATGCATCAACGTGGACGTTCTCGATCTCTAGCCTATGCAGGGATGGGAAGATAAGTGGCTTGACTTGTTTTGGTCGTGCAGATGAGAATTGATTCTGCTTGTTTGTCGTCAGACATGGCTCTGTCGACAGAGACAGTGGAGATGGACCCCTTGCGCCAAGCCAGCGGAACTTGAGCCTCTTCAGCAGCGGGAAGCACTGGAGGTATGAATCTAGAAATTTCAGATGGTCCGTTGGTTCACCTCCACTGTACGGAAAGGCATCCATCTCGATATGAAGATCGGTTATCCGTCTCCAGCGTTTGCATGAGGCAGGAGATGTACCAATTCCTATAGCGGTTGGTCGCAAGTAGAGCAAAGCCCCCGGATGTACGGGAAGAAGAGTTAAAGATGTCAGGCATGGCAGTGGGCTGTGCTCCACTGCGCAGCGTATAGAGATCAGTGCATAGTCTACCACACTACGACGGTAGCGATGGGGGGCAGACTGGTTCGGGCAGGACAGAGTAAGCTTGGTGAGGCCACCCAGTGCTTTGAATGCACGTATAAAAGAGCCGATGTTCGTGGCTGCATGGAAGAGTGGAGGGTACTGCTTCGTCAGTAGATCAGTCATTTCCCATGTCCCATACTTCGGTCCACTCAGTCGTGATGAAAATGGCGATGAAGGGTAGACTTGTGGCGTGTAGACGAAAGTTTGCTCTTCTCCAGTATTAGGATCTAGGAGTGGCGGCAGGAAAGTTGATGGTGAATGTGAGATAGTCAGTTTCAAAGATTTAACATGTCTTCCAATGCGCTCCAGGGCAGCCATGCGAGCTGGTCGGGTAAATGTGCTACTTCGCAAGGAGACATCGAGCTCAGAGAATAGTATCGGTTCAACATGGACGCTGAAATCATGGCAGACCAGCCGCAGGTTGGCGAGATCCTCCTTTGACACCTGGGATAAGAATGCATCTCTTGTCAAGTCTGTAGACCAGAAACGAATAAAAGATGCACTTGGTAGCATTTTTCCTTAATTCTTTCCTTCCTTTGCTTTCACTGGCAGGCTCTCTGCTTGAGGGTAAAAAATTAATGCAATTACCGTTGGTTGTAATTCACCTTTGAACACGTCAGTTGCATGCGGTTCCTGGCGAGGGATCAGGCGCAAAAGCACCTACCACTTGGACCTGCAGGTATCAAACCAGAGTAAATATAGTCGATCGTAAATCCTCAGTGTTTAAATGTCATGACAGTCATTAAATTCATAAATATATCAAGAGTATGCCAGATACTCCTTTGCCATCGATATAGATGTAGTATCATATATAAAACAAATTCGGAAAGAGAGGAGGAAAAGAGGGAAAAAAGGGAAAATGTTTCGAATATGCAACGAAACATCTTTCCGAGGGCGGGGAATGGGGAGAAGCACGGGCGGACCCATCCGGAATGCACTGTCTGCATATTTTGCACTTGGCCTGGTCCAGTTGCCTTGGAGCAACGCGCCCATGGTTGGTCTAGCGATCAGCAAAGCTACACTGGTTGCCAGGGCGAAGGTTCGAGGTGCAGCAGAAGCGCGAGAATATCGCGAGCACGGAACGACGGTGAAACGTCTATTGGCGCTTATTGGTCGAGCCATATACGAGGCGCGGTTGACTGAGTTTGGACAAGGACGTTGGTGTTGACGCAAGGGCGGAATAGACGCGAAACCGCGTTAAGTGGTTGCAGCCGTTAACGCGGATGAACACGGCCGAGCATCACGCCGGCGAGAAGGATGCAATTTATCTCTGCTCCATCTTTGATAAGGGGTACAGAGTACTCCGTAGTGCTGAACATTGTGTCCGACCTTATACGGAATATCGTATCGTTATCATATGATCGAGCTGGCCTGGTTCAGCAGCGGTGATCGTAACAGCCAGTCCTACATAATAGGTCTTGCTGTTCTTCACGCGATCGACGGTTCCACCAGTCGGCGTGTCCCGTAAGCCTCATCAAGGAATCCAATCCATCCGAAATTCCAGCATCCAGCTATCCCATGGTTGTACAGCCCTCATTCCATCTGGCCTCGAGCGAGAATAACAGGAATCATGTCGTTAAACGCGACGAAATCTTTGATGTTGTCTTCTTTTCCCCTTTTGGGACGAAATTGGATGGACGCGGTGGGGCAAACTTTAACGATAGCACGTGATAAGGCTATGCTTGAAATGATTTCGGGAGCTTACTAATAAATGACTAAGAACAGTTTTACCCCTGAAAACCTTCTTGCGATCAAACAATCTGATATTCGGAGGCGGTTCAAAGGTAACTAGACATGCTATTGGGTTGGATATGCTGAGCGAGTGGCTATTTCGAAGCTTGGATATGGTTATTATTCATATCTAGTAGAAATTGATATCTGAATGATGACATCATTGCTCTGTTCAGTCGTCTAGTCAATTCGAACTAAATTCCTCCGTTTATATGTGTTCGGAGAAAGATCGGCAACATGAAAAATATGAGTTCCTTTTCTCGGTAAGTAAAGTCTCGAGGGAAATATTTATACTTGTCCGTGTGTGTGTATGTGTGTGTCTTTGCTTTAATAATAAGTACCCGTATCCGCAATAGTAGTAGCTTGTGCAGTGTCATTTATTGCCACTTGTTACTACGCTGCCGAAGAGTCAGCATTGCTTAATAAAATCATCATTTCCGCCATCCAGTTAGTTATTCTACCATAATACAAATGACCAGGCAATACAGCTATTTAAAGTGTCAAAAGGTGTCAAAAAGTGCCAAATGTGCTACTGGGAACTGTGTTCTGCTTAGTCATCCTACATACTTTCAACGCCCGCCAGACATTTTGAAGATTTCGAGCCAAAAACCAAAGAAATCCAACAAAAGAAAAAGAAAAGAAAAAATGGGAAAAAAATTAAAATAATTAAATAATAAAAAAATAATAAATGTTAAAAAGATTTCATCATCGATGATGAGCTGACGATATCATTTTATGACAGGCCAGCAGGTTTGTGAGGGCCATCCACACAGATATTCCAGACATTCCAAAGGTTTGGCCTGAAACACGCTGGATAGTGAGCCTCCTGTATGCGAAATCATCTAATTGTTCGTCGTGTCTAGGACCCGAGCTAAGTGACGGCTGGTCCAGCAAGTCACCCGCTTGATACGCTGATGACCAACATTGGAATTTGAGCCGCATATTACCCTGTGGTGTGTATGGCTGAGGCGATACGCCGGAAAGAGGCGCATAAAGGAACCAGGATCTCTGACTGCTTGCAGCTGAGATAAGATCTCTCGTTGCGGAGTCCAGTCCGTCCAACAGATGGACTCAGGCGAGATTGAGGACATGCTTTCATGGTCGGATTCAGAGGACGAGACCACTTTCAGCTATAACAACACCCCGGCTGGAAGCCATCGAGCGCCGTCCCCGCTGCCACCGACTACCAGTACTACAAACCAGCACAGAACACCACATCAGGCCTCTTCCTCGTCTTCCTCCTCCTCGTCTCGCCTGTCTGGAACCGCCATGGAAGCTGGTCCCTCACGAAAACGGCCTCGAGCGCCTTCGTCGCCCAACACTTCGTCTGCTCTACTCCACGACTCGAAAACCCGTCGACAGGCCTCTCCTCAACGAAACACTGGTCCTTCCAACCAGCCTGCTTCCGCTACTGCTCCCGACCCTGATCTGCTTGGTTTCTTTGGTATAGACGAAGATGATGAATTCACCGCACTAGAGGAGGAGCAGCGTAAAGCTGAGGCCTGGCTTAAAGAACGGCGGGAACAAGAACGCAGAGATGAAGAGTTTGCTCGCACTTTGCAGGAGACCTGGGATGAGACGATACATAATTCATCAAGATCTGATGAACAGGATGAAATTGTATTTCGGCCTCCTCCACCTCCTGCTCCGGCAGCGATGCCTCAGGGGCATAACCCAACGCCGATTCAGGGATATACTCCGCCGCATTTCACTCCACAACCACAGCTGGGCAGACATGCATCAACACCTGGTCCTATGAGCGAACAGGCAAGGCCAGTGCTCCCTCCGCTTGGACCTGCGTCAGCATCTAGGTCGTCATCGGGTTTCCCAGTTCCTTCGCGAAGCAGTGTCTTTGAGAGAAGAGACGCCAGCAATTCTGCAAGCTCCTGGCAGAAAACCAGCTTTGGCGGCCGCTCGTTTGGGTCCGGATTCTCACAAATTACTGGCTCAAGGAGTGAAGAACCCTGGCGTGCCACTCCAAATAATTATATCGAGTTGAGCAGTGATAGTGATGTGGAGGATTCCTCGAAATCATTCCCGAATCGGGCTCCGTCCCGGGCGGTCGGCAACAGTCCTAGGGCCATGTATATTTCCCCAACTTACAAGGGAAATCCATACGGAAATTCAAGTGTTGCGGGATCTAGCCAACGGCTCCCTGGAGTTCACAGTCTTGGACAGATGTTTGGTCAGGGTCTAAGAACCTTTGACTTCAATAGAAGTCTAGAAGAATTAAACTATCCACCTTCCCTGCGACCATTTATGACCAACCAATGCCCACCAGGCTGCCTTTGTGGAAGGGAAGCATCACATACCTATTTATCGGCGAAGTCACAGATCGATAGCTTACGGTAAGCATTATTGTAACAATCTAACGTGCTACTATGGCTAATAACAATAGGGAAATGTACGCCGTTGACGGGATGACTCCCGATGAAATGAAAAAGGAGCTCAAGTCTCTCCTCGAGAACATTCGTCCAGACCAAGAACTCGACCTCAACCGTGAAGGGACTCCAGAAGCGCTCAAATTCCCACTTATGGAGCACCAGAAACTGGGGCTAGCCTGGATGAGATCAATGGAAGAAGGCTCCAACAAGGGAGGAATCCTCGCTGATGACATGGGCCTTGGGAAGACGATCCAGGCACTGGCCTTGATGGTTTCTCGGCCCAGTACCGACCCTGCGCGCAAGACAACCCTTATCATCGCCCCGGTTGCTTTGATTCAACAGTGGAAGCGTGAAATTAACCGGATGTTGAAGCCAGGTTCTCAGCATCAGCTCTCTGTCTTCATCTTGCATGGAGAGCGCCGTTCAATCAAATTTCAGGATTTGCGGCGTTACGATGTTGTCTTGACTACGTTTGGCACTTTGGCATCTGAACTCAAGCGTAAGGAACAGTGGATGAAATTCAAAAAGGAAAATCCAACCGCTTATCAAAATCTCTCTATTTCACCCCTGGACGATATGCCACTACTAGGTGAAAGCAGCAAGTGGTACCGAATCATCATTGATGAAGCACAGTGTATTAAGAACCGCGGTACGAAGAGTGCTCAGGCATGCTATGAGCTCCAATCGATCTACAGGTGGTGTATGAGTGGCACTCCAATGATGAACAACGTGCAAGAGCTCTACTCCTTGATATGTTTCCTCCGCATTGGACCGTACAACAAGCTCGAGCGGTTCAATAGCACATTTACAAGACCTTTGAAAAATGATACAAACGCGGTCCAAAGTACGGCTATGAAAAAGCTTCAGGCTCTTCTCAAAGCAATCCTCCTCCGCCGCACCAAATCATCCAAAATCGATGGAAAACCGATTCTTCAACTCCCACCTCGTGTCACTGAAAAAGTGCATACCATCTTCAGCTCAGATGAGCAGGAATTCTACCAGGCTCTTGAAACTCAGTCACAACTTCAGTTTAATAGATATCTCCAGGCTGGCACTGTTGGGAGAAATTATTCAAATGTGCTTGTTTTACTATTGCGATTGCGCCAGGCTTGCTGCCATCCGCATCTAATTAATGATTTCGCAGTCAATCTCGTCACCAATTCAGGAGAAATTGACCTCATTGCCAACGCAAAAAGGCTTGACAATACCGTTGTTGAACGACTTAAGGCACAAGAGGCTTTGGAATGTCCGGTTTGCATAGACGTGGCTGAAAATGCCGTTATCTTCTTTCCTTGTGGCCACAGCACCTGTGCAGAATGCTTTGCAAGGATCTCAGATCCCGCGCAAGGGTTGATGCAGGGCAATGATGGAACGATAGAGGTAAAATGTCCTTCCTGC